CAAAACCAGTGATGGATGTAGCATATAGTTAACGAGTTCAACTGAACCTAATATTTTCAACTAACAACAACTATGCTTCAGTCCCAAACAAGTCGGGATCAACAACCTAATACTTTACACATGGAGTATAAATATATACATATATGTAAAAGACTGAACAGATCAAATTTAAATCCTCAATTCGACAAACCAAATCAAAGACTAATCCAAATAAATATCCAACAGATTGACAGATTAACCATTTCAAAGAATTCCAAAACTCAGAATTGCCAAGAAACTCCACCAAACAATGTAGAGCCAATATGCTAGATTAACAAGTCAACTATATAAAGAAAATCCATTAAAGATCAAAACTTTATCATACCTCTAGACTTTTGTAGCATCTCTTCTTCAAAATGCTGGAGACCCCACAGCCCAAAAAAGCAAAGACAACCAAGAACTGTCAAGTGATTCCTTTTGTTGATAACACAGCAAAAACCATAGAATCTTGAAATGGGAAAATTCTATATATAAAACTAAAAGCTCTTAACTTTTTCCAAGAATTGTGGAGATCTTCTTATCTATATGCACAATTTTATGAAAAGGGCAAAAAGATTCAAACTTCATGTATCTAACAAGCAAAACAAAACATGGGAAATCAAATGTAATGTTTCTAAGTGAAGATTTTTCTACCCTTTTCTTTATAGATGAAAAATTCCATATTTATGAAACTAAAAGCTAATACTTTTTTCCCAAGAATGGTGGGGAAAAGGGTAAAAAGATTCAAACTTTATGTATTTAACAAGCAAAAAGAAACATGGGAATTCAAATGTAATGTTTTAAAGTAAAGATTTTGCTACCCTTTTCTTTATTGATGAAAAATATTGAAAAGATGGTTTCAAGAATCTTATCTCTCTCTCTAAAATGTTGCTTTTGAGTGCTTCAAAGGGTCACTAACTGTCAACTTTCTAGGCATTTTACATACACTTTTTTCAGAAAAATATTCATATGGACTTTTGAGATTGGACAGCTTCTTCTTTGTTGTTTTTTTTTTTGGAAAAATTGTACATGAGGACTCAGATGAAGTGAAATCAGATGGTGATGCTAGCAATGGTGTCATCTTCTGTTTTTTATTTGAATTTTTGCAAAAAATTATTGCTTATAATATATGATGCACGTCTAGATACCTCAATTTGTTTTGATTGCGTCTATGATGAAATTGCTGGTATTCAAAATCTTGATGAAATAATAGGGGGTAATTTTTAGAACTTGAACATAGTACAATAGGATTGTAGATTTGGAACGCTGACGTGACACATAAATTTACATTTAAACACTTCATGCATATCTAGACACCTCAATTCTTTCTTATTATATTATATCTGCAATGACATTGTTCATATTCACGACTTTGATGAAGTAATGGTGATTAATTGAATTTGAAAAGGGTATAATAGTCATTGTTCTAAATTCGGAATCAAATAACGCTGGTACTGGTATTGGTAAACACTTGATGCTGACGTGACACATAATTTTTAAAGGTGTTTAAATGATTATTTAGATACTTCATATATATCTAGACACCTCAATTCGTTCTTATTATGTTTGTGATGGCATTACTCTTATTTAATTGTTAGTTAAGATCAAGTTAAATATCTAACTACATATTATATTTATTTTTTTAACCGACGACTATCATAAAATATTTTCATGTACATAAAATAATAATACAGATTACTATATACACATTATCTTCTCCCGACCTCATTCGTAAAGATATTGATTGATTGTTATAGTTCTAACTTCTAAATATCCTTTTTTTTTTTTCATTTGGTGTTGGTATAATTTTTTAGGCAATTAAACTAAATAAGAATATGCAACGTGATGACCATTCTTCCCCTTTACCTACTCTATTTTTCATCCTTTTTACAATTAAAAAAAAATCTTTGAAGATTAATAATATATATATATATAAAATTCTAAATTTCATAAATAATGAAATCGTTTATATGTTCTTGTTGTTTGCAAGGAATATATCAATAAGGCTCAAACTCAAAAATCGTAACATATATCTAACACATAAAATATCACTACATTAAAACTTTGAAACTAATGTTATTTTTATTTTTGATGTTAGAATATCTTGAAGATAAAATCTTTAAACAAAATCAATAATTTTGTATAAATTAGGGTAAGAATATCTTTGAATATCTTCTATGCTATATTAATCAATTCTATCCCATCAAATTATGCAAAAAGATTCTTTTAATTTGAAGTCAACGTTAAATCTCAATTTTGTCCTTAGATAAATGAAACAATAATTTGGTCAACATGTACTACAAATCAATTTATTTTATCTTCTGAACCATTAATAAAATAATAGTAAAAATATACATAAACTCTATACGCCGACAATTTCTATCATTAACGCGGAGAGTAACTAAATTTATTATGGTTATATATTCCTTTTGTTTCAAAATAGATGTAATTTTTATTTAAATATCTGTTTCAAAATAATTATTCGTATAGAAGTTGAAAATAATTTGTTTTTACTTTTACTTTTAGTAGTAATTGTTTTTGAAAAACTTCATATTGTTCTAAGCATAACTAGACCGATTTAATTTTTGAATTCAAGATTAAGAAAATATATCTTATTGAGTAATAAATAGACTAAGTGCTAATTAGAGCTGTCAATATGGGTTAGGTCCGTTGGGCCGGCCTGGCCTAACCCGAAATTTAATAAGGCTAAGCTAAGATTTTTGAAATCCATTTAAGAAAAAGGTTTTTTTTGCCCGATTTGAATAAGTCTGCTTATTTGGGAGGCTTGAGAAATGTCGATAGGGCCGGCCATGGGCCAATAAAAATTAATTAAAAAATATAATATAATATTAAAATTTAAAAATAAAGAGAGTCCAAAATCAAAACAATTAGTTTAATATTTCTATTTATATATTTATACTTTTAGTTGAAAAGAAAATTAATAAATATCAAGGAAAATGCACAAAATACCCCTAGACTATGACCAAAATCCCAGACACACCTTAACTAAACTAAGGTCCTATTACCCCTGAACTTTTTTTTTTAATTTTATACATCTTTTGTCTTACGTGGCACTCTATTTGACTCCACGCAATTGAGGCGCGTCGGAGATATTTGGATGCCACGTAAGCCAAAGAGATACACAAAATTACAAAAAAAAAATAAGTTTAGGGGGGTAATACGACCTTAGTAAGGTGTGTCTTTGGGATTTCGGACATAGTCTTGGGGGTACTTGTGCATTTTCCCTAAATATTATAAAAATAATTTTATTTTTGAATTTGATTAGCAAGTAGTGACATTAAGGTCTCATTTTTTTCCCATTAAGATTAAGACGTCTGAGTTTGAATACGCATTTAAATATTAAGATGTGCATTAAGATCTAGATGTGTAAATCTGAATAAACATCTGAATATTCAAATATTGTCTCTGAATCTGAACACTAAATTATTGGTACGGTTTGTTTTCAATATATGAATGCACATATGAAATTTAACGTTATATCAATAAAATATTATCAAAACCTTGTTAGTAAAATAGTATTTTTCATATAATATAATATTTTAAACATTTTTTACCGTAACAAGGTAATATGATTTATCTTTTAAGAACTTAACATCAAGTTACATCATTAATATGACTATTTTTTGCATTCAAAATACTTTGAGAATCGAATATAATGCAATTTAAAATAGTTTATATAGAGTAGTAAATATATAGTTTAGAAAAATATTTTATTTTATTTTACTTTAGAAATTTATTATTGTTATCGATCAAATAACTAATATTTTTTTTATTTTTTGAAAACCGTGCTAAATATTATATCATGGGAGTGCTTATCAATTCAAATATATTGATTAATTTATGAAAGTAAAAGATGTATATTAAGTTAATATGAATAAAAGAAATTATAATGGCAAGTATGTAATTAAATATTAATTAAATAAGAACACAACTTTTATGAGTTGTTTTGATTTAGTTGAATTAAGATAGGAGTCTTATTTTTTAGTCTAAATAGTGTTAAGGGTGTGTTACAGATTCATTCAGATATATCCAGACCCATTAAGATGCTTATAATAAAATAAAACAAACAAACTTCATGAACTGAATCTGAATAATTAAGATTCAGTTCTTAAAAACAAATACATGAGGCAAATCTGAATGATTAAGATTCAAATCACATTAAGTGCAAACAAATGAGGTCTAACATAATGTAATATTGTTTTATCGATATTTATGATAATATTTTTAAATTATAATTTATAAGTTAATTTAATAATTATAAAAAAATATATTTTTTTAAAAAGTGGATTGGCCCGGCAAGCCTGTAGCCTACGTACTTGTGGACTGGGCCGACCATTTTCTGGCCCACACTAAAAATGGGCTAGCCCAGCATGACCCGTAAAATGTCAAAGCCTGTATGGGTTAGCCCGGATGGGGTGGGTTGACCCATATTAACAGCTCTAGTGATAATATATAAGCAATGACTCTAGGACAGAATAGCACTTCTTAGTGACTAGGAGCGGAGAGCCCGTTGCACCTTGTTTTTCTGGCCTATCTTCTTTCTATAAGCAAGCTCCCTCCGGCAATCCCTGTACGGCTCTCGGTTCTTGAGCATGTTGGGTGATTAGGCGGCAGTTGAAAGAGCTGCTCAAAAGTTTGACGAAGAAGCGAAAAAAGCCTATCTATTCTCCTTGTTCCTGTTCCTAACTCCTCTCCGGGTAGTTCCCAATGTTTGGCACTTTCCATACTTCATGGGTGCAATATCAACAAATTCGCTCATGATCAAGTTACAACCTAAGATCTATGACCATATTATAATGAAAAATATTACTTCAACCTCTAAAATGATAAATGGAGCAAAGAAGTAAAGTGAGTTATTTGATTTTTTTAGTTAAAAATATCATTATTTATTAATTCAATTTGAAAACGATAAATATATAAATACAAATGAAAAAAATGTAAAGTAAAAAGACAATTTAGACCTAAATAGAAATACTGCGAAGGACGACTGCCTCCATAGTTAGGCCAGGCCCAAAACAACAAAGCACGCCCCACTCAAGCCCTTCGCCTGTGCTAATCAATCCTTCACTGATAGAAGCTTTCCTCATCTCATCCAAAACAAACAGTATGGTGGCACAACCCATATTCCCATAGCCACTCAAGACATTTCTTGTAGCTTTGAGTTTTTCGGGCTTTAGGCCCAATTTTAATTCAATTTGATCTGAAATTGCACGTCCGCCTGGATGAGCTACCCAAAAGATGGAGTTCCAATCAGAAATGCCAAGAGGCTGAAATCCTTCCAGTAAGATTTTCTCAATATTTGTTGAAATTAGCATCGGAACTTCCTTATGTATATGGATTATTAACCCAGCCTCACTTAGGTTAGAATAAATAGCACTTTCGCTATTTGGGAGAAGAGTTTGAGTTGTGAATACAAGTTCAAACAAAGGCCTTTCTATTGGTATGATAGGATCTGAACCAATAATGACAGCTGATGCCCCATCGCTACTAAAAGCTTGCCCAACCAAAACATCTAAGTCAGTGTCCCTTGGGCCTTGAAAGCTCATCAAATTTATTAATTCTGAGCAAACAACAAGGACACGAGCTTTCTTGTTGTTTTCAGCCAAATCCTTAGCCAATCTAAGAACAGCTGCACCACCAGAGCAACCTTGTTGGTACAACATGAATCGCTTAACTGATGGATCTAGCCCAAGAAGTTTGGTGAGCTGGGAGTCGGCCCCTGGCATGTCCACACCACTAGTGGTGCAAAAGACCAAATGTGTAATCTTAGATATGGGCTGGCCCCATTCTTTGATAGCCTTTTGGGCTGCCTCTTGGCCTAGTTTTGGAACCTCGATAATTGTTATTTTTTGTTTAGCATCAAAAGAAGGTGTATTGTAATCACAAATATTAGGATTCTTCTTCAAGATTTCCTCGGTTAAATGCAAATATCTTTTCTTAATCATTGTTTTAGCACCTGTAACATATAATCACAAATGTAAACCGAACACTAACAAAAAACACATTCAAGTCTCGAACATGAAAAACTCAAGAAAATTCAATACGAAATCATCTGAAAATAATTTTCATATATCCTTAACTAAATATATTTTGTGAAATTAGGTCTTAGGCCTAACTCACACCCTAAAAGCTAGCTCAAAGGGAGGAGGATTGCCCAAGCCTTATAAAGAGTCCACCCATCTCATTAATCACCGATGTGAGACTTTTGTCATTCTTTAACATATTTTAATTAAAAGAAAGAAAAACACTTTGAATAATTGGAATTGTGCAAATCAAGATAACAAAAATATTAAACTTACACATTTGCTTAAACTTTCGTTTAAGTTCACTCTTATGTTCACTATTAGTGATACGAAAAAAATAGTCAGGATAGGTGCTTTGATCGATACAATTGGAAGGATTGGCTGTTCCGATGGCCAACACATTAGCAAGTCCCTCGGCTCGTTGTGCCTTATGAAACTCTTCGATAGTGACTATTTTCGCCGATGGCGGTAAATTGGAACACAAACATTTTATCATCTTTATAAAAGATGTTGACACCCAATTTTGACCCACATTGGTGTAAATTAATTATCGAGCTTCGAGAATTTTTAAAATTATTTAAGTTAATTAGTTTTATAAATCTTGCAAAAATTTAAAAAAAAAAAAAAGAAAAGAAAAAAAAAGAAAAAAAAAAAGAGAAGAAGATTTTAAAAATATATATACATGTATATATGTATATGTATGTGTATATATATACATATATATATATATATATGTATGTATATATATGTATATAAATTAAAAATATACATAATGTATGAATTTTATGTTACTTCGAATACGCTTTGACATAATTTTCGATAATATATATATATATATATATA